CCGATGTCTTTCCTCCAAGTCATTTGATTTCCTCCTACAGCCCATAGACATGCAGTTAGATACACTGTCTCTAAATAACTCTATTAGGCATCTTGTCAGGTATTCTTGTCAGACTTTCAATACCACACCAGGCAGCAACCGCAATCTCACCATGGGCGGCCATGAAGAATACAAAGAGGATTCAGCTGGCGGGGGCTGATCACCGCGAAGAGGGGCTGGGATCGTGCCCCTCAGCAGGACCAAAAACCCACAGCGTAGGTAAGAGAGTAGGAGAGGGATTTGGGAAGAATCCCTAATGAGGGATCAGGAGCTCATGACCAGGCAGGGGGGGGGAGGGACAAATAACCCTGGGCCCTGACCTCTAGGGGGCCACAGCTGATAATGACAATTTGTTTTGTAACAAAACACTTTCTTACAAAATTATCCACTCCAAACCTTAATATAGAGTAAATTTGGCTGATCGATCCTCCAGTACAATACCACTGTCCCATGATTGCCAGATTTTACCAGTAGCGCTCCCGCCCCTTTCTCTGATTGGCAGATTTTACCAGTAGCACTCCCGCTCCCTTCCCTGATTGGCAGATTTTACCAATAGCGCTCCCGCCCCCTACCATGATTGGTAATTTTTACAGCTGGCACCCCATGCTTCATTTAATGTATTATTGATGTTCTAACATTTAAAATTCCCTTTGCTTTAGGATCCAAAAAATAGCTCAAATGGCCACTTAGGGGCCCCCTACCCATGCCAGCCTAGGGCCCCCAGAGAAGTGAGTCTGTCCCTGTCACCAAGCCTGACACAGTCACAGTCACAGCCCTCTTTTTTCCTGCCCTGCAGCCATGTTGGAGCAGACCGAGAGAGAAAGGTGGAACTACACATTCGTCTCATTTCATTCATAACTCATGACTGTTTACTAGCCATTAGTATCTGTTACTTTATGCAAGAGATGAACATAACAAATTTAAAGCTGCTGTCTATGGAGTTTTTTCTTGCTACTGTCACCTCTGGCCTGCTGACTGGGGGCTTTGGACAATGCAACATGCTTTGAGACAATGTAATACTGTAGAAATGCACTAGATAAGTTTGAATTGAAATGAATCTATGTACCTAGTGTCTATGTGGTCTTACTGTATGTGCAAAGCCATTTTTAAAGTCTCAGCCAAACTTTATTTCATTTCATTGTCTGTGAATAATTGGAAATGACAATAAAGTAGGACTGTAATGGTTCGGTACAAACCTTTGGCCTTGAGTTCATGGTTTGGTGTAATTTTGGTCCAGCAGAATTTATTTAGAAATTAATTATTATTAAAACTTCAAAATAGAAACATAATCAGAAAGAGTTGTAAACCTAAGGCAATATGTCTGTTGATGTGTCTGTCACCGTGTCTCAACAATAAAACCTGAGACTCTCATTTGCACATTGTTAAAAGAAATATGTACAATAAATAAAAATTGCACAATGCATCATAAATGGATGATGTCATCTCAATTGAGTTAGCAGCTTGAATGTGTTGTGAGCGACATATGAACAGAGTATCAGAGCTGACAGGCAGACTTGGCCAGACAGGCTCTTAGTCAACTGTTGGTGTACTTTACTGGGAGACTGAAATATTCCCAAACTGTTGATTATGACTGACGGTAACCAGCATTAGCCGTAATCAACTCACAGCCACAATCATGCATAATGTTTTCTGCATAATGATTTCCGGGTCTAAGGACAACTTGTGAATTTAGGTTCTGCCTGTGTCAATAAATACATAAATTTGTTTCATTGCATTTACTGAAGCAGAAATTAGGTACATGTGATGAATTTGTGTACCGTTACATCCTTACAATAAAGTTTGACTTGTTGTGATTAGCATCCCAGCCCCTCGTCTTATCTTGAAGGCTGCGTACCACTCTCTGCCATGGCAGGCTGGTTACGGTGCCTTGAAGGCAGGGATCCTGGCTCGGTTGGGTCTCTCTCGACTGGAGCTCTGCACTAGACCAGCTGACTCACAGTCAGATCTGCCTCCTGCTGCATCTGCCACAGCACAGTTTACATCCGGCATTCACCAGATCACCCTGTCTTCCCAATCACCTTTACCATCAAGTCCAGGGTCCCCGTCTTCTCCCTGCTTGATTCTAGAAGCACTGACATTACTGTCATCAGTCATTGTTATGGTTAGAGTCAGTGCTTAACACTATTCTGACAGACATTGTGATCAAAATGACGTTTTCAGTATGGACATGGTATTTAGAATCATGGTCTATATCATTTCTTACAATGGACACTGATTAGTCTTGCCACAGAAATATTTGTCCATTTACAGATGCAACACATGGATAAAAGTATGTGGACACCAGCCTGTCCAACATCTCACTCTGAATCAAAGGGTATTAATATGAAGCCGGCTAACCCTCAGTTGCTATAATAGCCTGTACTCTTCTGGGATGGTTTTCCATTAGATGCTGGAACATTGCTGGTGGGATTTGCTGCCATTCAGGTTGGGTATTGATGTTGGGTGATCAGGACAGAAATGTGGTGAACCGACTCGATGGAAAGGTGTCCAGTGGTGCCCTGATATCACACCCAGCATATTTCCCTGCCTTGTATCCAGTGCTGCCTAATCTACCCCCAACTTTTTAATTCAAGATGCCAGATTATTAATTAGACTAGAATTTTTTTTCTCCAATCAAATTCACAATATTAATATTATCAAATATTAATACAGGCAAAAGGCTAAACTGAGGGCAATAGATAATCTGACACAAAAATCAGTGTTTAATATTTAATGACCAAGCTTGACAAATGCACCCCCTATTCAGGCTCCTGAAGCTTGTTTTGGCTGAAGCTGAGGTTGTGCGAGGTTGCTGATGCTGGTGGTCGGGCTGCTTCCCCGCCCCGCTGCGCAGGAGAGCGATAAGTATGCAGCGGTGCTCGCTAACGAGGCCGCTGACATTAAGCTACCGCAGGTGGCCTTCCCAGGCCGGCTGCATCTGGGGCCCTGCCCCCCCCCCCCCTCCCGGCAGCCTCCCTCACCATCAGGATGATCAAACGAGGCTGGATTATTGAGGGAGACCCCATTCGGCCAATGTCAGACATTGTATGCATACAGAAGGTCACACGGGGAACGTTTCATAAATATTCTACATTTATATATACAGGCAGTCCTTGAAGAAGATCTGTTCCTAAGTCTGGCTTTTAGTTGAATTTGTAGGTTAGTCAGGACAGTCTTAACGGCAACATGGTCCAACTTAGAAAGGCAGGCTACCATGAACCACTGAAGCCATACAATGTTCTCATGAGCATCGCACAGCAGTGCATGCATTTGTTATTACGAACCATTGTATTCAACCTGAATTTTTAATATAATAGGCTTTCTGGCAGTCGAGGTGAAGTACCACTAAGTCAAATGTTTTTAACCCGGGGACTTATTAACAGAAATGTTACATATTAAATTATTAATTATAACGTCTCAGTAAGCAGCACTGCTGCCTCACTCCACCAACGGGGGGGTTTGAATCCCACCTCTGCTCTGTGTGGAGTCTCCACATTTTTGGGTTATTCTAGATACCGTATGAATTCCCTGTAGTGTCTGATGGACTGTCTCCTTAGGCAGGCTGTACCCCATTCAGGGATAAGGTTCCATTTACAATACATACTTACAATCATATTTACATATGAAAATAACCTGATTATTTTTCTCCACACATGCTTTCTCTACACACAGGTATACATGTCGATGAGCTGAATAAAACGTAAGGAATATCAATATCTATACCAGGCAGGTTCTGTAGCATGTACCCAAAGGTGCAGCTTAGCATTCCTTGGACAGTCATTAAAAAGCAATTACCACTGTTCACTGGCTCTTCTACTTCCAGTGACTACACCTTTGATTTCATTTGTTGCATCAAGATTTTTCACAGATACGCACAACAGAGAGAGGCAAACTATGCTCTACACAACTGAGACACGTTATCAGATGATAGATTTTGTCTAATTTAAATGAGAAAACCAATACGAATATTTCTTCCTGTAATCCGTTGATTGCATTCAGTTCTACAAATGACAGTGTTTATAGCTCAATTCACTGTTTTGCATGGAACCAAGGATCTTCTGTTCATCGCATGGTGAAGAGGTCACAATCACGTTATGTGTGCTTGACACATGGAAGCTGTCACAGAACCCCCCCCCCCCCAAAAAAAAGGGGGCAGCTTCTGCAGTAATTAGGAGAGGAGGCCCCTCCTTGGTCCTCCCCTCTGCCGCACATTTCCCATCAGTGACTGGGAGTCAGTGTAGAGCACCCCTCCAGAGAGACCACTGACTACAGGTGCAGGAGCTTCGGAGTACAGGACACCTTATCTCTGGGGTAAGCATGAGCTCCTCATCGTATTTCTTTTTGTTACCAACATCACCAAAATATAGACTGACCACATTATAGATTTAGTCTACACCATGGTTGCCAACTTTGGTCAGCTGGCTCGAGTGAGATTTTCAATCCGAGACAGTCTGCACACGCATTTACATGTATGTAAGAGTTTTATTACCTTGTAAATAGTCTGTAGGTTTTGCAAACTACCCCGACACCTCTGATGTAGCTAATTTTAGGTTTATAATGGAATAATATAGATTTGCTGCAAGATTTCTTGTGTAAGTGCGAGAGTTTGAAAGCGTGAGTGTCACACCAGATGCGTGAGGGTTGTCGACTCTGGTCTTACAGCAGCCTTATCATGGAGAGTTTTGTGAAAGGATAATTTAAATGGCTAGTGAAATAGAGAATATTTACTTAAGTGTAGCTTCTGTCTATTAATTTTGATGAACATCAACTTAAGTGAACAATGCATCTTGATTCCAGTGGTCTAATAACAATCGTTTGCCCAATTTACTTGCATAAACTGAGGGGCAAATAAATATTTACTGTATCAGGTATACTGAAAATACGTTTTATGATAACACTGGATTCTTCCATAAAGGCCAACTGTTTGTCTGTTTTGCCTGGAAAATTGTTGCTAAAACGAACACTGTACTTCTGAAGGTCCGGTTCCAGTGTATAAAAGCAGATGACAAGACAGCTGTTACACTGTATATCAAGGAGAAAGAGTTGGCTTTGTAACCTGGGCCAGCGACTGTGTGTTCTGAGGCATGAGGAGTTAAGGGCTTGGTATGCTGTGCCGATGCTGTGCCACACTGCCTGCTGTCATCGCCTGTGGCAGGAGCAGAGGCTGGGTCAGCATCATCAGCCGCTGCCCTCTGATATCGGCTTCACTTTAAAACGCACACAATATACCCATTACTGGGAGGATGTCAGAAAATTAAATGTGTTTCTGCATTTTGTCACAGCGTCTCTGCTTTATTTAACACTTCACCTGAGGTGCCACAAACATAGTACTATACCATTACTTATGTATTAATTAATGAATTAGTTACATCCTGATCTCATGTTAATTCATCATTAATTAACTGTGACATAGTTCGTCAAACTTATTATATACTGAAGGAACAAGTCATGGATACCACACATGAAAATTACTGAATCATGATGCATCTTTCATCCCAATCATTTACTACATTTGTTACTATATCTGTTAATTCTGTAATTAAGACCTTTGTGAACTACTGAAGGAACTACTGAAGGAACCAGCAATGAATAGAACAAATGAAATACTGATCTCATGTTTGTTCATGATTAATGAACTTTTATTTCAAGTAGCGACTAGATTTGTTCATGATTTATACTTCGGTAATAACTGACTTATTACTATTCGCGCCCCATCACATATTACCAAAATGATTATACAATAAACAATATCCAACGAAATATAGACTTTGAAAATGTATTGTCTTTATCTTTATTTGTGTTTGTTTCTGTTTACCATTAATATCTTTAGTATTATTGGTTCTTTAGTGCAATAGCTTAAGAAAGTTATCGTGCTGCTCTAATTTTCAGACTTCGAGGACAGGGCACAGGTGAGGCAAGTTACAATATCAGTGTATCACTGCATGTTAAAAGTCGCCTCAGTTGTTTGTGTGTCAGGCTCGTTCTGCTCTCTGGGGGCCCCTGTTGACATGCCCTTGCTTGCCTCTCGACCTAGGAGGATAACAGCCCTATCAGAGACAGCTGAGACCTTGGCAGCGAGATTTCCCGGACTTCCATAACATCTTGCATCCACAAAACAGCAGGTGATGCCAAGCTGGAACGAGGGAGGCAGTGAATGAATGCAGAGAAGAATGTGCCGTGTTTGAGCGGGAAAACTGGTTTTTGGGTGAAACCGCTGTCGTTCTTTCAGCGGCTGCTCCTCAGCAGATACCCGAGCGTGTAAAGGAGGAAAGCGGAGAAGTGTCCTTCGTATGAATGACTGTACAGGAAATAGTGAGGGGTGTGAGAATCGCATGCATCCTTTGTTGGGAAAGAGCCCTTGAAGATTGGTTGCCTGAAAGCCATGTATTTCTTTACAGTGTGTGAGAGAGAGACGGAGCCATAATGTCCAATAATATGGCCAAAATCGCAGATGCTCGCAAGACAGTGGAGCAGCTAAAACTGGAAGTTAATATCGACCGAATGATGGTAAGGCAGGAAAATACGTGAACGTGTGCTGTCGCTCGTCTTATTATCTTATGGTATGAAACAGTTCATGCAAAGAAAAACAACTGCCATGAAATTTAATTTGTATGCTCTGGATATAATGGCGGTGCAGTGGTCAGAACTGCTGCCTCCCACCAGTAAAACCAGTGTTCATGGCTCCTTGTGTGTGGAGTTTGCATGTCCTCTATTTTCCTTTTTGAGTCTTGATGCCCCATCCTGCCATAGCCTGTATGCAAAATGGACTAATGTTACATTTATATAGCACTTCTCAGCACCAATGAGGAGCCACTTGAACCACCACCACTGTGTACACAGCAGCCATTCTGCACCAGTGCACTGACCACACAATAATTAAAGGGGCAGGAGAGAATTCACCAGTTAGATATAGGGGATGATGTGGAGGCCAGATTTGACAGGGCCTCAGTGGGCAATTTTAGCCAGAACATCAGGATACCATCCCTAAGATGCCCAGGGACCTTTTATAACCTCAGAAAGTCAGAAGCTTGGTTTTACATCTCATCCAAAGGACGCCACCATATTTAGAGCAGAGTGTCCCCATCTCTGCACTGGGATCCACACAGACCACATGATGGGCTAACCTGCTGGCCACAGTGTCCCCATCTCTGCACTGGGATCCACACAGACCACATGATGGGCTAACCTGCTGGCCACACCAGTACCTCTTCTAGCAGCAACCCAGCTTTCCTAGTTGGTCTCCCATCCAAGTACTGGCCAGGCTCAGACCTGTGTACCTTCAGACGGAGTACCAGGTCTGACCTGCAGGGGGTATGGTGGCAGTCAGTCACTCTCTCAGTCTCCTGTTTCTCGCACAGGTGTCGAAGGCCGCAGCTGACCTGATGGCGTTCTGCGAGGCCCATTCCAAAGGGGACCCACTGGTGACGCAGGTTCCCTCCTCTGAAAATCCATTCCGCGAGAAGAAGCTCTTCTGCATCATCCTGTAACCCGCAGCATGCCAAGGCAACATTCTTAGCTTATTTCAATTCTGAATATCATTCCTGCGAGTGCAGAAGGCATTTGCAGCTTCTAGTCGAGGAACCATTCTGTTGTTTGACTATTGTATAAAGTGATGACTGTTATCTGTTTTTGCTCTTTGTTTATCTGTAAATAAACGCACAGTCTGAAACAGTCTAATTAGCTTTGGAATACCAAAATCCAACAATCCAACAATACAAATTCTATTCAAAACTGCATGCACACGTATATATTTAGCGTTGGGATAATATCTGAGCAGCCCTTCTGCGCGGAAACAGAGAATACACAGGTTCAAAGTTTACTCAGCCTTAATCAGCACTTACCAACACTTCCTTGAGAGACATTATATATTAACTCAGGGCAGCAAAGCGTTTATTGGCTGGCAACAACTGAGCATGAAGATATAAAAGGCGAAAAAAGTGCTTTCAAATGCATATGTACATTAGACCGACGCTCGTAATAATAAAAATGACGGCATAAGTGCATGAAGATGAACGATTTAGCGTCTACGCAGGCGGTGGGCAGAGAAGCAGCGAGTGCCGCGCTGTGGCCCGCAGGCGTGTCTGCGTGTCACGTGACTGGTATTATGCGCGCAGGTACGCAGTGAGACAGGCTGGGTGTCCCTGCACTCTGCACCCATCAGTTAAATCACCGGACCGGCTTATTAATTGACTTGGGAAACGAAGGAAATAACAAGTAAGGTATTTTGACGTAATTTTAGGAGTCTTTACAGTGAATGCTTATTTCTCATAAAGATTAAAAGAAAATATGTATAATATTTATAACCATTTTATGCTGTTGGCATGGATCGCAATCTCGCCCACGGTACAGCCTACGTTAAACCTTTTGCTTTCCTGGGACGGATTCAGTATCGCCCTATATTCATTGGACAAGAAGGTATTAAGACTGTACGGATGGATGGTACATTATGCTAAGTTTACGAAGTTGTGCTGAAGGTTATATATGTTATATCTAAATTTAGATGAAATACCATAATCTGGAGATGATCTCATATCGACTTGTTTTCACTGCCACAGTTGCTGAGTGTGATGTGTTATACTGAGATAAAGTGAGTTTTATTAAAGAGCCGTGAAGTGTGCTGTCATGCATCCAGGTGTCGGGGCTGGCATTGCATATCGATAAATATAACCGCCATTGACACGTCGATTTGACCTTCACAGGGAAACACAACAATACCCTATTACCTGATAAAACGTGATGCGCGATGATAATTCTACTACCGTTAATTTTTTTGGGGAACTTTTGCGCATGTATCTCTTTTACTTTTGAAAAGTCCATTTTCACGGATCCCTGTGCACGTTATTGCATCCTTTATGCTTATTATCCAAAATCCATCCTTGTTTCACTCTAATGGCATGTTGTGTTTCTTTCACCAGGAGTGAGGAGAGATGGCCAACTTTAAGGGGCATGCTTTGCCCGGCAGCTTTTTCTTGCTGTTCGGCATTTGGTGGTCGGTGAAATACCCATTCCGGCAATGCTGGAAGAGGAGCCATTTACAAGGGAGGAAAAGGCTGCCCCTGCTCTTTGACAGGATAGATTTTGTGGAAGGATCCCTGAAGATATTCTTTGCCTTTGTTGGTAAGTTGGACACATACAAACAAGCATTGAATGCGTTTACTACTCTTTGATGAGGCAAATTGTGTTGATTAAAACTGGATGTCCGCTGTTAGGTATCATGGCTGAACAGTTCGTTCCGGACGGGCCCCACGCTCACCTATACGACAGGCAGGGAAATGCCTGGGTGAAGCTAATGAACTGGCAGCACAGTACCATGTACCTGTTCTTTGGTATTTCTGGAGTAGCTGACCTCCTAAGCATGTCCAGCCTGCCTGTCCCCCTGGGGATCGACCGTCTGGGGCTCGCTTTGGCGCTTTTCGTCGAAGGTAAAGTAGCCGTTCTGTCTCTGAATTCTGAATGAGGAGACTGTTCTTACCCTGTTAATATGGTGACTGAATCACAGCGGTCAATACCGATACTAAGGGTGTTTCTCAATACCAAGAACGCAAAGATCGTACTTGCATTCCTGGCAAATGCAGGCTTGCTAACTCGCCGCCTAAGAATGAACTTAGGATGCAATGAATCATGGGATTGCATATGTTAGCAAGGAGACAACATTGATATTTGTGAGGCCGAGCAAGAACGATATTCAGCGATCTTTACCGTCCTCTGTGCTTCTGTTCTTAGCATTAGAACTGTACGTCGGCAATGAAAAATGATGCTAAACAGCTATGTGAGAACACAAGTACGGTCAGGTCTGCATACTGATAAAGGCCCTAAGACTGTACTAAAATCCGACAGAGCTAAAGCCCTGCCAAGACAGCATGTGATGCTGACCCGTACTGGCTGCTTGAAAGCGCTAATGCTTCCTTAACCTGACAGCGTTCCTGTTCTACTTTCACGTGCACAATCGCCCCCACCTGGACATGCACATTCACTCCCTGCTTCTGGTGGCTGTGTTTGGGGGCGCGGCGAGTACCTTTCTGGAGGTCTTCAAACGAGACCATCCCATACTGGAGTCACTCAGGAGCAGCTTAGCCATCCTCCAAGGAACATGGTTCTTCCAGGTACCGCAGCATTCTGACAAGTATGGCCTGAAATTCACAAATATACTCACCAGCAGGAGGACAGTGAGTTGTGTTTGTCTGTTTAGATTGGCTTCGTGCTTTACCCACTGAACGGACCAGAATGGGACCTCGAGAAACATGACAACATCATGTTTGTCACCATGTGCTTCTGCTGGCATTATGCTGTTGCTTTGATGATCGTGGCTGTGAATTATACCATTGTCTGGTTGTGAGTATTCACCAGAGTCACTTTCATTCTATTGAATTCTGACGTGATAAAGTATGAAGTCTGTTGGTGTAAACCTGCTGTTCCTGTCCTCTCTCTCACCATGACATCGGTCCTCCAAGTGCCATGCAAAAGTGTACACGGCGGGAGACCTCTGACATGGAGATTGGACTACGGAAGACCTTGTCGCCCAGTGACGCTAGCTCACAGAAAGCCCTACTCCACGACTCAGAAGAAGAATAGACTGATGCATACATGGATTGAGAAATGCCACAGAGGGTGATCTGTACTTCTGGGAAGGATTTCCTGGAAACTTGTTTTGATGGTAAAAATTTGTTTAAAAAAACAAAAAAAACAAAAAAGAAAACCCTAGACCTTTGTAATAAAATAGTTCATTCTTAAAGAAATATAATTTGATAACATACTGATCTATAGTGAAGTTTTCTTAAAGGAACCAAGCTCTCTGCTTTATTTTAAAGTAATTCCATGATGCATTCTGAAACAATATGGTCTTATTTTATGAAAACAGCTTATTTTATCTCGAGAAAGCATTTGGTTTTGTCACAGAGATCCTTAGTGTCTCGATAGGAAGTGAACAAATTAGGTTAGCGGCAAGATCTCTGCTCAGAGGTATATGTGGGAATAAAACTACACAAGATCAACTGACAGGGTGCCTGTATTGTTTCAAGGTTAAGCTTTCGTCAGGCCGCAGCCATAAAACGGGAAGGACCGGATTTGTATTTTTATGAATACAGTGCAGAAGCAGAAACAACGTGACTATAAAAGTAAATAGGCGACACGTAACTCTTGCTGTGACCCTGGAGAGATGGATCACACTGTGCTTATTGCATAACACGTCGCTAAAAAGCACGTTAAAATTTCACGTAAGATAAAGGAGCATTATTCTGGTCTAGAGAAGCAATTTTACACATTTCAGCATGTTTCATGGTATATGCAGTGACTGCAAATCAGAGGTGCAATTTGCATAGATGTATAGAAACTGTGCTTGAAAACATGTAGAAAAGAGAACCACTGGGTTTGTAACTATGGACTCAGGGACATTACTGGTCTGCATTGTACTGCATTGTTTCTTCTCACCTTACTAACATAGCAAACAACTTTTTCAGCAGACATGCCATAAAACAAGATTAAGGTTAAAAAGAACAAAAAAAAAAAACACTCAAAAATCTGTCCTTTCATATTTATTTAAAAGTGAGGTGCAAAAAAAATGCCGGGGGAAAAAAAATTATTACACAGCTATACAGAGTCAAATAGTGACTGGTTCAGTACAACATACCCCAGCTGACAATATATTATAGCTTAAAACCTCAATTCTTTTTGTTTGTGAACCTTTCATTATGTCATTTGTCAGTTATTTATTCCTGACAAAATTTAATCTCAATTAGAGCTTACATCTTTATCCAAAGTATGACTGTTGGTAAGTATCCTCTGTTTTCTCTTTACTGAAATGGGACACTATCCTTACATCATTCACAGGAACCCGGTTAATGAGGAAATGCATTTATGAATTCTACAGAAGAACTGAGGTCTTTCTATCTAGGAGATGACACCATAATAAGTGTTCTGATGTCAGCCCAAATATTTTTTCTTTTTCTAACAAGAAAAGCAAACAAAAACAAACAAAAGACTGCTATACAGTACAGAAACATAACCAAACTGTACAAAAAGTCCTTTGCTCCAGTATGGAAGATGCTTTTATCGTAAAGCAGGTGTTGAACTGAAGGTCCTCTCCAGTGAGCCGAGCTAAACACTGGACGGGCAGCTGGAGCGGGATTCGCAGCTGCGTGTCTGCGGTCGCAGATCATCCCAGCCTGGCAGCCGCCCTCCTGCGCACGCCATGCTGCGGCACGCGCTGTCGCCCTCTAGTGGCCACATGTGTTGCGTCTCCGCATTTCACTGGGGGTCGGGCGTCCTTTTTGGGGACGGCGCAGTGGTGACGACGACAGTGGACAGGGCCTTTGAGGAGCTGCCAGCGGCACCTTGCTGCAGCTGCTGTGCAGGAACGGTCTGAATGCGCACCTTGAAGAGGAGAGAGGAAAACGTCACCCCTCCGATTGCTGTGGGAAATGAAACAGCACCAACACACCCAGCCACCTTAACACTTAATTTTTCCTTAACTGATCAACAGCATGTTTGTGTGACATGTGGCAGCATTTTAAAATTTAAAAAAGAAACATAAAAGGCATCTGTTCCTAGAATACTTGCGTGATGCAAACAAATCCTGACCTATGGGTATACCGAACCCATTTTTTTGTGTTTTAAGACAGCCGATTGGTTGATATTTTATTGGCCAATAGAAACTAAATTCAGACCCTTTCTCCAAAACTGGGTCACGTATGGAAATTTGTATCTGTGAAATTTTGCATGTGGGTTCTGTCACATATATTCGCACCGATGCAAAATTGAAAACCACTTGACCTCATGTTGACAATCTAGTCATCAATCAAGAAAACTGGTTGAACATATTCTACTGGACCAACTTCAGGTTTGCTTTAAACTGAAGGCACAGGATGTTTAATGACACGAGCAGCACGGCTGGCCAGCCAAGCAAAAACATAAGGATGAGGTTCAACACTGAAAAAGAAAAAACTTTATTTCTATAGTAAACATGACTCCTTATGCTTTAAATGAATTATAAATCACACTTAGTTTAGGGGTTTTACCTACAATGAATAATTTTAAAAGTATGCTAGACTGTGTCTTGACCAAACAATGTTATTGTTTTAAATACTGCAGCTAAAATAACGTGATTATTTTTAGAAAAAAAAATGTGTACTCCAGTGAGTTTGTTTTATGCTCTAATTCCGATGCTGTAACTTTGTTGCCATGTCGACCAGGACTCCCTGCAAAATGAGACACTGCATGTCAGAGCGACTTTCCTGGTTAATAAAGGGTGGGTGACGGAGGCTGCACGCCTGCTTACCTGCGTGGCCTGCCCCTGCTGCTGCAGCTGCTGCAGCTGCTGCGCAGTCACAAAGCTGACTGGCTTGTTCCCGGCTATGAGCTTGGCACCCGCTGGCATGGTGGTCAGGATAATGTTCCTGCCCAGGCTGCTGATGCTGCGGAGAGGGGTGACAGCAGACCGTCGTACGCAAAGCTGCCACCTGACTACAGACAGGTCACAGGCAACTGGGGGAAAGTGTGGGAGACTCACTTGGTGCTGATGTTGCCTTTTATGATGGGGGTGGTGACCACACTCTTGCTCTTCAGTGGCTGGCTCAAGACAGACAGGGGGACCGTGATACGTGCAGGCAGCTTGCCCTGGGGGAGGAAGCAAGAGGATCGCAGAGGGAGAATTAAGAACAGGATACAGATATTCATTATTAAAAAAAAAACCTACAGGTGAAAGGTTATGACGGGTTATTGTTCTACGAACTAGGATTTGGATTTCAGGAAGGCCTTCGACAGTTTGGGGATATTTCACTTTACGCCTTTACGTTTTTCAACTACAGTATTCTGCAAAAATCTTAGGCAGTCAAAGAAAATGATGGATGAACGATTTTCATGTTGATGTAAAACTATGATTTTATACTTGTCCAAAGTGTGTCAGCCATTTTAAACCCTCTGCTAAAGTCACCACAGTATTTGCAACAACTATCCAATGCACCCATGTATTTACTGACATGACCTCTAGCATACAATGCTTGGCTGATCTATATCTCATCAAGTTATTTAATTAATGAAGTTAATTAATTAATTGAGTTGGTGGTGAAATTTAACAGACACATGGAATGGCTGAGGCGCCCTGAGGAGAGGTTTGGGAACTGAAGCGGTTTTCATCTAGCCGTCCAGCAAGACAGCAGTAATTTTTTTTTTAGAGAATAGAAAAAATTCTTATTTTTTATTGTTCTATTAATTTACATATACTCTGTGTTCTAATGTTACACTGTATTTTTTTCCTGAACAAATATACATCTAATACCCAGATAAACTTTTTCTTTGACTCCAAAGTCTCTGAGAAAGAGGACAATGGTACCCAGCAGTCCTCAGTAACTCGGGTCTCATTTCTTGTCCAGAAACGTCATTTTCAGACATTCCTCAAACTGTGCTGCTTCCTTACTCGACTTGGTCACACTAACACCTGCTTGAAAAACCAGGTAATGACAAGCAAGGTCTCATGCTGTGACTTCAAACAAAGGACTGACATTATATCAAGTCATGGCCAAGACACGTTAGATAGCACTGTTCACTCTTCTCCGTAGCATCCCCTGATATCATTGGGCACAAAAATAAAACGTCCCAATTTATAATCCAATAAGGTGTCTCACGTTGCATCCTGTTGCCTACTGTGTGCCATAGGCCAACCCAGCAGCTCAGCGGACGTGTTTATCCACACAGGTCACCTCAGGACGGACCATAAAAGTGACTCATTAACCAGCTACCCTAAACCAATCCCAGATTCCATTATCTAGATGTCAACCAACAGCTATTTACAGCATGTAAGACAACCAGTAAGGGCAGAACTTCCTTTGCAGCATAATTTCCCACAGATCTTCTAGTGCAGGGGTGCACAAAGACCGGACCGCGGTGCCAGTGTGGACCGAACCGCGGTCTATATTGGACCAAATCGCATAATTAATCCAGACCCAGTTGATAATGCACCTTATGAATCAATATGATTAACTTCACAACGGCTTATCGTGGTTTGAAGTACAAAAATACAATGTAGAACCATCAAACCATGCACACACATAACCCGTTAAACCAGTCCTTGCATTAAGTCCCCATTATTATAATGTCTATATGGAAAGTTGTTAATTCTTTAAACCCCTGGTCTGGTGCATGATGAATAAAATGGGGAACGGTCAAGTCTGGACTTTGATACCTATAAAGCAGTGCTTCTTAACCCAGTCCTCCCAGTTCCCAGCACACCAAAACCAAGCAATGAAGGAAGAGAATACCTGATACAGGTGTGTTGGGAGCAGTGTTACTAGAATTTAGATTTTTTTAGTTTAGTTTTCATTTTATATTATTTTCAGTTTTCATTTGAAATCTAGTTTTAGGTAGTTTCAGTTTTAAGTATTTTGACTCCTGAGGACAAACTGAAAGTTGTACAACCGTCTTATTCATCTGATCTTTAGAGTCCTACATGAATACAATGTGCATATCATGGTTTAAAGTCCTCAAAATGGGTAAAACATGTTCCAGGTAATGATAATTAAACTTCAATTTAATCTTTACTTTAGCTAAATAGTATAAAAAGGTAACAAAAATGTTTTCTGACATTTTATGGTAACAGCCCTTATAGGGAGCCGGGAGGGAGCAAAAACGTGGACCGGCTAGGGGTCCCCAAGGACCGGATTGGGAAACACTGCTAACGATGGCTTAATAAAGGCTAATAAAGTGCTGCACTTACCGCCTGAGTGGACACCACAGCGCCACCTACAGGCACCTGTCGAACGGTGGCAGTGCCTGCGCCAATGGAGATGGGCGACCCCCCCGCAGCCGGACCCATAGTCAGACCCTTGGCGCCGGCCATCCCGCTGGTCGCTATAGTGACAGTGGCAGCCCCAGACGTGACCATGGGCGGCTTGGTGCCGGTGGTGGTTGTCGTCACGGCGATGGTCTGGCCCTGCTTCTGCGGGATGACGCCCAGGCCGGGCATGATGCGGATGGTGGTGGCCGGCTTGGAGTCGGAGGAGACGGTGGAGAAGCCCCGCCCCTTCTGGTCAGCCACCGTGACGGCGAGGGCCGGCATCAGGCGGATGGCCGTGTCCCCCCCCGCCTTCAGCTCGGGGTGCACCTTCACCAAGGAGGGACCCCCTTTGATGGCCTGCAGGTCAGTGGGGGGGGCTGCGGGGGTGGAGGAAGACGGCGGCGATGGGTGCGAGGGGGCCACGTGCAGGGAGATGCCCTTGCCCCCCCCCGCGGCGGCGCTCAGCATGTCGGGCGTGAGCTTGACGGTGGTGACGGGCGACTTGGTGAGGGTAGCCATCATGTCCGGCGTGATGCGCAGCACCGTCTGGCCCTTGGCGTCGGTGGTGATGGAGGAGGGGGGCAGCCGCAGCACGTCTTTGCCTTGGATGCGCAGGTTGGTGGCTGCCAGGGGAATCCCGGCGCCGCCCTGAGGCTTGACGCCCAGCTGGCTGGTGATGGCCACCTGCACCCAGGGACACGGGGTTTAACCCCCAGGGACAGTCAGACACACGGCGGCGAATGACACTTTGCAGACGGCGATGCAGACCGTCCAATGCACCCACAGACCATCACAGCCCTGAACAGCCTACAAGACCATGAACAGCCCAAACACACCCGCAAAGCCAGCGCCTCCAGACCCCCTTTTATTCCTTCACTGGCTTCTGCATCGCTTGGCTGCATGATCTTACTGCAGTTTTAGTTTCGTTATCCGTCTTTGTTTTAACCATCCTTTACTGTATAAGCGTGCTGGGTGTCAGGAATGCATGTTGCAAACAAAATGATGAAGATGATGACAAATAAGAGAACAACCAGTAGGCGGGGAAATGGATGTCCATCCATCCATCCATCCATCCATCCATATTCTGTAACCACGTCGCTATTCAGGGTCATGGGGGTCCGGGGGCCATTTCCCAGAAGCTAGTTTGAACATATTAACAGGCCCCCTGACAAAATGTCACCTTGCCCCCCCCCCCAGTGCCCACACTGTATAATTGTATGTATTCAGGGACCCCTGCAAAGTGCTGCCCCCTTGAGTCTGCCAGGGCATGCAGGTCTCTTCATCATTCAAAGTCATTACAACCCTGAACAGGAAAAGCAGTTAAATGATGGATGGATACATGTAAAATGTATAATAAATGTAAATGTATTAAAATGAACTATAAAGTGACGCATGAGGGGGGGGGTGGATGCACCTGCTTGATGATGTTCTGGCTGTTGACGCCTTGCAGGACGGCGGCAGGCGAGGTGCTGTGGGCTGGACTGCCGGGGGCGCTGCTCTGGGGTTTGCTGACGGCGATGGCGGAGGCCAGGCCTGTGACAGTGAGGCCTGCCTGGGTACGGGCTGCCTGCACCTGCACTGGGCTGCCACTAGAGGTCGTTCGGAGGGGCAGGGTCACCACAGCCTGGCAGAATGGGAAGCAGAGAGAAGGTAAGTGCACAGGGGGATGGATCACAGAGTTCACGCCCCCGCCCCGAGACGGGAGATGGGAGGGGGGGCCGATCCTTACCTGCGCTAGCCCCTTCGTATGCGTCATGGTGACTGGCACGCGGATCTGGTGCTGACCAGGATGCACCAGCGTGGCCTGAGGGCTCCCAGCGGAGGCGCTGAGGGTGGGCTGTGTGGTGACCACCCGCACCTGCGAGAGGGAGCCCGGCCCTGGGTGGGCCACTACTCGAGCTGCCGGCTGCGGCCCAGCGGCCTGCGGAGCCTGCTGTGCGGACTGGCCAGCGGACAGGAGAGTGCCCAGCTGCGGGATGGATGGTGGGGACACCAGGAGGACACTGCAAGGGACAGCGCAGGTCATAATAATAAAAGAGTAATAATAAGTAACTGCACACAGTACTGTACTGTAGCTCGAGCCAATGAACAGCTGAAGCCTCCCAATGTTTTCACGAGCGTCAAAGTAGTGTGTGCGTTCGTTATTATGAACCACTGTATTTAATCCAAATTATTAATATAATAGGCTTTATGGCAGTTCATTCATAAGTAAGAACTGTCTGTCGGCTGCTCTTAGCCGGTTTCCCTGAACCTGGTCCTGCCAATGTGGCATGTAGATTAGATCAGAAAAGCAAAGCTAAGCTGAGATGAGATGAGATTCCCAGGAGGAATCTGGTAACACTTCGATCTAAAAAAATACTACAGATCATTTGATAATATATTAATAGAAGTACTATTCCCCACACAAATGTATTACAGTTATGCCTTGCTCCTGGCTTTTAAAAAAAACAACCTGTAAATCACTTGCAAATATAAAACAGTGGGTTAATTAGCAAACTCAGAAATAAGCTATGAATAATTACTTACAAGTTCTTCAGTAAATACTTTGTGGGACGAGAGAAAAATCTTTGTAATAAATTTCTTAATTTGAATGTAAAAGAATATATTTTTTACTTAGTAATATATTATGTAATTGTTAGTAATAGGTTTATTAATAGTTTAGGTACAGACCTGTTACCAGAAACACTTGAGCATCAGGGAACATGGTGCACAGACAATTATGCACATAGTGCAAAAGGGTACGCATAGTGCAAACAAGTAAATGTAGTATTATGGAATATTAGTGTATTGTTTTTTCCACTAAAATAACGTCCCAAACATCGACATTAACAGATTTAATTTGGACTGTATGATCTCAGCTGAGACTGAAATCGATGCAAGAGAATTAAGTAAAGCCAGACAGGGCGCTTCAGCTTAAAGGAGGGCGGAGTGACATCTGGGGGGAGGAGCCAGCAGGAGGCCGGGCCTCTCGGGGCTGACCTGGGGCTTTGCCTGACCGCGTCAGGGACTCCCGTTTTGGTGGGCGTGCCGGCCGTGGGGGCCAGGGGCGATTTGGGGGTGCCCGGGGTGCTGGGCGTTGGCGTTGTAGGGGTGGGAGGGAGACTGACTGAAGGTACGGCCCCCCCATCAGGCAGAACCACCTGGCCTGGCTCGCTGGTCCCAGGCACCTTGCCACCCCCCTCCTTATTACTGGACTTCTGCAGGAAACACGTGGGGGGGGGGGGGGGGGG